TTAAATATATAGATTCATGTCATTAGATTTTAAAACACAAGAAAATCAGTTAAAACATTCACTGTACGTAGTGGTTAATCCTATCATATATTGACTTGTACTATTCTTTGACTAAATCTAGTATATATGTCAACAATTGATTATGTAATATTGCATACAAAATAACTCATAATCATGTATTTATATTAGTTTGGTATTATTTTACATTATCAGTACCCTTATGTACAATACACATAATTTAGGGTACACACAAGAAAATCAGTTAAAACATTCGATTATTCTAATTCTCCCTCCAGTTATTTTCATTCAATAAAAGGAACGTCATTCTCCCTCCAGTTATTTTCATTCAATAAAAGGAATGTCTATAATTATTATTATTATTTTTTTTTTGTTTTCTCAAGAAGGTAAACAAAGTGATGTTATCTATTAAAAAACTGTGAGTGGATAATACAAATCTGCTTTAGGTGATGAAATCTTAAAGTACATAATTCTGATAATAACTATTTTAAGAGAAACAAGAAAAGATAAATAGCCAATCAAACTCGAAAAGATTTTTACATGATTCTACAACACCTACGCCCATGTTTAGGTGAATGATGTGACCAAGATTTTTTTGTAAACCTACACTAAGTGTGCGTTTGTTTCGGTTCTAACTGTAGAAAAACTGAGTTTAAAGTTGATGTTGAAAATCTGTTATTCAAAAATTAATGTTTTAGAGGCAACTGGTTTGTTTGAAAAAAACAACTGTGAAAGTATTGCGTGTTAACAAATAATTGTGAAACCTCTCAGTTATCAGAACATTTTTGTGTGAAAAACATAATTTTATTTGAGAAGCACAGTTCTAAAAGTGATGTTTGTGGAATAAATTCAATATAAATTTATCAAATTGTCACACTCACAACACCATAAGAGAATTGAAGGGAAAATAATAACTAAATTTTATTCCTGCAAAATAACCATACAAACATAAGTTAAACATAAGCTGCATCTCAGCAAAAAAATTGAGTTTGCTTAAGAAAAAATCCAAAATAGTATAGTTTGTCCTAAAAAATACATAAACACAATCAAAACAAATACAACATTAACAACAATAAAATCAATGCTACAATTACAAAATCATAGAAAAAGCAAGAACTTCACAAGAAACTTCAAGTTTTTGACACCATTTTTCGTGGTATCACTCAGTACATATATCTTTTTGTCACCTCGCTCCTGTATTGCATCCCTCGGCTCATTAACCCATTGAAAAAAATTGCAGTCTCTATGCATTAAATTTGTGGGACACCTATAAAACCTTCATCCAACACTATCTTCATTTTGTGTCGTGAATACAATACATAACAGTTTGTAATCATAAAATACTGTTGATGTTTGGTACCCTTAGCACTTGTCAAATTGCTTGATCTAAGTTTCAGTAGTACAATCCTGTACATTAATGATAAGCAAAAAAATAATGAATTCCTTCACATATACAGAAGCTAAAAGAATAAGCGGATACTGATTTTGTACAATAAAAATGGCAATCACATACATACTGAAGTCCAATGAACAATGTTTTAGAAGATTTGAATGACCAAAAAAGAGTTCATGAAAGCATCACAGTCAGCAAGCACAAATATTTAAGGAATATCCTATGAGATTTGAATGGATACAATTTTGCAATTCAGCCAATCCAAAGGAAATGAGAAAGAATAGATAAGAGGGTAAAGCTTTAAGGAAAAAAAAAACATCCAATTTATAAGGTATGTGTCCTTCAAAGTTTGTCCTCTAGAAGAATGGAATGCTAGCATATATTGAGCCGTAAATTAATAACTTGCAACACCAAATGACAGGAGAAAAATTTCAAAAACAGTGTATAGGTTGCTCCAAATAACAAGAAAATCAAATAACAAGATCACTAATATTCTACCGAAATGCTTGTATTCTGCTCCAATATCATGAATAAAATATATATAACACCCAAATCATGAAATGCTTGTACTCTACCCCAAAAACTGAAATGCTTATATTCTACTCCAAAATCATGAATAAAGTATGTCATCAAAGCCAATGCAGTAATGACCAAAATATTTTTCCCATCATTTACAAAAGACAAAGTTGTAGCACACGAACAAACAATCATTAAAAAAAACATACTAATATTTTCGAGAGGTTGCATGATAATAAATGTGGCCAACTGGCAACATAAAAAATACTTGTTGTGAATTGAATGGCATACGGAATCAAATTTCCCTACTCCAGCTTCCCAATTCAAATAGCCAACGGAATCAAATTTAAAGCAGACCAACTCCCCTTTAAGCCAATATTTAAGAGCAACATATCCTTCCAAACTTCAAATGGATTACTAGATGGCTCTTTTGCTCTTCAATTTTAATCCAGCATGAAGTTCTTTCTGAGTTCAAAAGCAGGTAGATTTTCAATCTTGGTTCCAAGTAGCGTTTCTGTCCAAATTATTACAGTTGCCTCTTCCGCTACAAGAGCATTTATAGACAGAAGTATTCACAGCAAGATTTTATAACTAAATGCACCATATCACAAGATATATTTTGTTCATTTCTTTACAAGCCACACAATTCTAATGTAATTAGATATCAAACACCGAAACTGTCATTTCCTTACCTCCCAAATTTCATTTTTTTAAGCTACAGGTAGATTTCTACACTGTGCGGGCTCAAATATGATAGGGAATTGCATTTCCACGGATCAGTATCCATAGATCCCATGGTATAGGCAAAATGGGTTACAGAAGAATAACTTGGCCATCCAAAGATGCCGCATCAGCACCATTGGAAGGATAGGGATATAAATACCGGCACATCCAACTGCATACAACAAAAGGAATGAGCATTCCCTAATAAAAATGACAAGGATCGATCGTGGGTCAATTTATCTATCATATTCTTGTAACCCCAAATGACTATATAAGAGTACATAAAATGATTCAATAGCCCCATAGTTCTTCCTATGTGCGTGGATAACTTTACTTGCTAATAGTAACCACATCAAAGAAAAGTAAATATCAAACCTTATTTGTGATATATGTAAGTTCATAGAGGCCGAGTGACATGCTTGTACATGCCCCAAATTAAAAGAGCACTTGGAGATTCCAGTGAATGAAAGAATAGAACAAAATTTAAAAATATTCTAACAGAAATGTAAATATCAAACTTTGAGTGTTATATATGTAAAAACATAAATATTTGCATACACACCAGCTTAAGTGTTGTAGCATGCGGTTCTCAATTAATGCTTCATTTTTGGATATGTAAATAAATAATGAATCAAGTGGTATGTATGGAAATATTTTAAATCTGTACAAGTTAGGCATGAGCCCTCAAACAATAAAATAATAGCACAATTCTGATTGATTTAACTAGAATCCAGAGAGAAAAATTGGCACTTTTCATTCAAGCATCTAATAAAGTCACAAGTTGTGATTGCTTCAAGAGAATCACCTAAAATTATGAATTAAGCTTCACTGAGCACAGCGAAGTATCGTTCCAATTGATAACCCTAATAACCCAAGCAATTCAACGCAATTCTCAAGGGAAATAAATAATGAAGGCCTGCCTGATGGTATATCACCTTTCCATTCATAAAGAAATTATTCCAAGCCCCTATGTATTCAGTGTTTTGTAATAGTAAAAACAGTTTAATGAAGGCCTGCCTGCTGCTGCCATTTTGCGCAATGAAGCTTAATAAAACAGTTAATAATAAAAACAGCCGCTAACATTTGGAACTGATATGGTGAAATCCATAAATTTGTAATAAAACAGAAATAGAAAGTTCACAATGAATCAGTTTCATTACATAACACTTGTTCATACAACCAACTACAGAATTTTAATCAAATATTAACTAAAGCATCGGTGATATAATCTCATAACTCAGCCATCTCATCAACGCCTTCCTCGTCTCCTACACAAGGGTTGATACTATCTTCAATAGTATTCATCAGGGATTTACCCGGTATTCATATGCTTTAGAAGAAACATAATCGTTTTCATCTACACCTGCAAATCAACGTCGCAGCGTATGTAACTATGAAGTGTCATTATCATAGCAATAAGTTTAACATGTTTCTCAAAAGATTGTGTAGGCATGTCTCATAGAATAACTCTTTTTTTTTCCAAACTCCAAAAGCTCTCTCAATCACACCACTTAATGAAGAATGTTTCTTCTTAAACAATTCTTCTTTTCCTCACACTACTAGAAATTTCTGTTGTAATGGACATTCATCATCCACAAAACAATATTTTCCTATTAGAACAGTCAACCTTGAGTTAGTATATGCAAAAAAAATGTAAAGTGTTATAACCAATACCTTCTTCGAAAACATTCTAGAAAAGCCACGAAGACCATAACTATTGTGCAATTCAATCAAAATATTAATAAAGATTACTTGGCTTATACGAAACATGTTATGGAATTTCCTTGGTTGCCCCCAAAAAATTCTTTTACCCACTTGTCCACAGTAAATGTTGATGACATAGATGGAGTACGGAGATACATGATTCCTAGGATGTAGTCAACACACATACAGTTGTTGTAATAATCTTTTGGCAACATTCACTATGTACTCTATCATTGGGATTCATAGTTACAAAATAATTAACATTGTGCTATAAAAGATATACCACACGTTGTATTTGAGGATCTAATGTTAGATCATCACAAAAAAATAAATGTAAATAAAAAATAATTTTTATCGAACGAGATGCCACATCACAAGTGCTTATAACAAAAGTAATTGTTATGCCAAAACATTTCACAAAATGAAATTACATAATAATCTTGTACAACCAATATTAATGTTAGAAGTAGTTCTTCAGCTAAAATATCAATTACATTTTAATAAAAACACGTAGATCAAGAATTAATTAGAAATGAAATTTTCATAGAAGAAGTGAAAGTAATCTTGTACAACCAATATTAATGTTAGAAGTAGTTCTTCAGCTAAAATATCAATTACATTTTAATAAAAACACGTAGATCAAGAATTAATTAGAAATGAAATTTTCATAGAAGAAGTGAAAGTAATGCAACGTCCTCTTTAGTGCCATTGACGTGAAAATATCCCTCTTGGTAGGATCTTCAATTTGCTTCAATGAGTAAACATACAACGAAATATCCTCATAAACTTTTGGTATTTGTTCTAAAATTTTCATTACATCAGGAATAGATGAAGATTGTTGTGCAATGCTTGCCTTAGAAGATAAGTTTATGCATGTTGTAACCAGCCCGAATATTTGGCTTCTTAGGTATGCATGCCCAATTTTCTTAGTACAACTTGCTCTTGCTTTTAAAGAAGGTGATGTTCTTGCATTGCTAGATTCACTAAGATCATTCCTGCCTTGCGGTGATCTTCGAAAAGGATCAATCGGGATCTCCCTATGCTCATGTGAACCCTGAGGAGTTCAATAATGTTCAACAGTTGTAACAATCCCACCAAACATAACAACAAACTTCTCCTCTAACTCAGGTTTAATTCCACCAAATTTAAATTTATTAGCATTTGGCATTCCGTTTCATTCATAAAATTAGAAGGAGAGCTAATGTTTAACAAGTGTACATGCAAAGAAAATTATAAATATAAATTTCTTAAAATAGATTTCACCTTTAATTTCTCCTTCCACCAATCGGTTGATGCATCTAAGGTGTTTTTAGTTGGATCCCAATCAAAGTCTAGTAGATCCGCTTTTAAGATCTTTCCAAATTTTCCAATTATTTTTTAATTGGCCCCACTTAATCTTTAATTGCGATCATTCATACACTTTTGCAGTTCTATCTTGAAAATTTTTTGTGATGTCATGCCAACCTTCTTTTTTGAAATGTATGGTTGGCTCATTTCCTAACTCAATCTATTTCATACAAATATCCAAAAAAATATTATTATTTCTCTGTTCCATATAGCAAACGATGCACCATCTCTTGTATTGCCCATTTGCTGAAATGAGTTAAAAAGTTTAAGCAAAAAACATCTAGGAAAAAAGAAATTAGAAGGCCTTTGCATACATACCATGAATGAAGGAAATTAATCAATCAATCAATGAAACGATTAGAAGTTCATCTATCAGGTAATCTTTCACACTTCAATTCATCATAAAAATGAATCAATGAATTTCCAAGAAAATTTTGACACATTCGAATCAAAGAATTTCCAAATGTAAATTACAAAACTTTCAAAAAGCAAATCAAAGATAACTCTCAAGTGCTTTTATCAATCTCACCAAGTACTCACCAAAAATGCATCACTTGTCTCTCAGAGATAAAAATTTTGACATATTCATGCTTTTTTTTCTCTCAGAGATAAAAATAGCACCTGAGAGAATTGATCACTTGTCTCGATTCCAATAAAATTTTAAGCTATTTATTCTCAACTAAAAATGCATCAAACCATGAGATTTCTCCACTAGTCAAATTATTGCATCAATTTCCTTATATTAACCAAGAAAATAATTCATATAAGTAGCCTTGCATAAGGTAATAATCAAACAGTGAATAATAATGCTGCATATCAATTTTAGATAACAATTTTGCTTGACAAAATACTCCATCCCATCTGCAAAAATGTAAACCGTGAATGATAATTTTTTATAAGGTAATAACCAAACCAAAATCCTACACCTCATCATTATTATGTAAATCAATCGAGCCCATACTAATGAAACATATATGAATGCTTAATAAAGATATATCATAACTTCTTTGTTTAAAACAAAAAAAATCATTGTCATTGCTATTAGAAAACCAAAAAAACTCATTGGGTCAAGTCTTATAATTATGAAAGCATAATGATAAAAAAGATCTGTATACACATGTTTTACAATTTGAGTATCATGCATATAGATATTCAAGAATCGAACTATAGATAAACATTTTATCATTCAGTCATATTGTACATTTAAACCCATGAGTATTTAGTGTTGTATATGTAAACTTTTTTTCAAGAAAAATAAATCTTAGATCAGCTAGTGTAAATATAATAATGATTGATAAGTGTATTACCCATCCAATTATAAATAACATAGCGATGGTTTATGCAGGTTATACACAATGAGATTGTTGCTTGGGAATTACACAAAAAATTCAAAGCAAAGAAAATTCAAAATTACAAATTCCAGATCTGACATTTAACTTAGATAATCACATATCAATTCAACTTCACTTAACGTGAATATAAAAACATATTCAAGATCCTCAAATAATGCAAGATAAAAAAAAAAAAAATAGCACCTTCAACTTTTTATGAATTAGTAAATATCAAAATAGATCCCTATATTAGAAAACTGCAAGAAAGGGCAAATACATTTCACAGAAAGCAGAGAAGATAATGGCGTAATGAAGTTAAAAAGGGGAGAGGAAGAACGGTGGAGAAGTGAAATCAGGATAGGAGCAAGATGAGAAGAATGGGTAAGAAGTTACCAGATAAGCGGAGAAGGCGATACGAGGATCGGCAGCGCTATGGCTCATGAGCTTGGGAGAAGGAGAAGGGTGCAGAAGAGATCGAGAGCTCTCTCAAGTGAGCTAGGGCACGATTGAAATTCATTTCCTCGCTAAACACCTTGCGGCTTTTGGCTCTATGTTTTTAACTTTTTCACAAGCCATAATTAGTTGATTCGAATGTGTAAGCCATGAAAATTGACATATATGAATTACCTTCACAAATTATAAATGCTTAATACTAATTCTTATTGAAAGCTTAATTTATGAATTACCTTCACAACATTATTGACATATATTAACTCTTAATTATATAATTTTTTTTTTCTTATATAAGATGGGTAAGAATGAAAATTGAATGTTAATTATTTAATTAAAATTTCTTCAGAAACTTCTACATATCGATAAAAATGGATTATTAGAGGTATGAACCTGATATATACATCTAATTTGATTTGCCATAATATGCATTTAAATTTAGAAGGGTTTGTCTTCAAAAATTGATCAATCAGGTTGTCATTAGTGTGCACAACCCATGGGATTACAATTCCAATGTTAAATGTGCACCCACAATAATTTATATTACTTTTTATATATTAAATATGGATTGATTAACCCAAGTCCCATCATGGTAGCTGGGCGTGTACAACCTGTGCATGTTGAGTTCTTATTGTGTTGGTTAGTCTATTTGTAATGAATCGCTTAAATTGCATGAGTAAACTTGTTGATCTTAGTTCATCGTCACACGAATAGCAATGTATTGTTGGGGCTCCAATATTCTCAACAAGATGAGTAACCGTAGCATGTCAGACAACAGATCACACGGGATAGCTACATATTCTTCAATAAAACACCATAAAAGCAAGGGGCATTCAGGTGCATAGCACACAATTTCTATGTATTTACATATCTGACAACCCCAAAAGGGTGAGATTACATTTCTTAATGGTAGTGATATATTTTGCTATTGCAAATGTTACTTTTTAATATTGAATGCCAAAGCCTTTCCTAAAAAAAAAGCATACCAATGACCTGTTATAATAAATTATTCAAACCGAAGCTTTAATGTTTTTACGGAATGGGTGTTCTAGCTAACTTTAAGGAGTTTGGATATCTATAAAGTCTGTTAATTTGAAATTTAAATTTAAACGGATTACGAAGATTTAATTCCGTAAAAGAAGATGTCTTAAATTAAACTTAAATTAAAAGTGATTAAGTATCTGTTTGGGGCAACTGTAACTTATTTAATAATCTGTTGATAAGCTAGATGTGATAGCTATTACAAATTTTAATTTTTTTGGAAAAGCCAGATCGCTGTCAGGAAGCTGTCGCCGCACCTAGATAGGTGCGGTGTGAAAACACTGTTTTTAGCGTTTTCAAAACGCATAAGCTGTCTAAACACAGTTTACCCAAACAAACTAGGTACCACACCAAGTATAAAACTGTGAAATAATAAATGTAGCAGCAATTAAAGAAATAACAACCAGAAAGTCATAGCTGTTTTGAACCAATGCATAAAAGGGCTGAAAAAAAGTAACCATTAAAATAGTTGGTAAGATGTGCTCTTAAGGATTAAGAAATAAAAGACAGTAAGATGGACAAATTGGTTCTCTTTCATGAAATTAATTAGATAATGGCTTTCTCTTTCTGCTTCCAAACTCTTAGTAGTTAAGTCAAATGTTGTTATTTTAATTTTCTCGTTAGTAGTTGTTGAGCTAAACATAAAAACTAGTATGCAAGCGATCTTTCCATCAGAGACGAGAGCGGAAAAGTCTTTAACAACCTTTTCAAGCGTTGAAGATGGACAGATTGGTTCAGAAATGTGGTGGTTGTGAACAGCATTTCAATTGACTGCTTTTAGAATCAGAAGAAAACAAATTTGATTAAGCAGACGACCCACTTCATTGCCATTCTATGATTTAGTAAAAGACAGGCAAATATAATAGTATTTAGATAAGCATGTCTTGCTCCGGGAGATTTCAAGTATTTCAAGAAAAATAAAATTATACTAATTTATGTCACCAATTGGGAGAGGAATCTGAGTCCTGCTGTTGTTTTTGCTAAGTTGCATTTGAAGAAAATGATTAGTTTAATTCCTATTTTATTGTTCCGTGTAGTCATTAAAAATATTGAAGCAATATATTTTTGATATTTTTAATTTGTTAATCAGAACGCGTGGCTGACAAAATTGACCCACATTTGATCTTATAAAAAGGTAATATTTAGTAGTGACCGAACCCGGCCCAAGACTAAATTATTGAAGTGTGGGTACGGGTGTAAACGAGCCGAACACGAATGAATAAAGCTTGTGTTCGTGTTCGGTTCGTTTAAAATTTAGTTTGTTTGAAATAAGCTCGTGTTCGTTTCTTAACGAACGAGCCGAACACGAACCGAACACGAGCTG